GAAACAAACACAAGTGCAATTATTACAATAATAATAATAATAATAATAATAATAATAATAATAATAATAATAATAATAATAATAATAATAATAATCTTGAATGTAGAGAATAAAAGAGGAGGCTGAGAAGATGAATGTGTTTTCTAATTAGGTCTCTGCTGCCTTTTGTATGTAAGTACCTGCCTGCATGGGCAYGAGTAAAAAGGATTAAAAAGCTGCTTAAACTGAACCCAATTTAAATCAAATTACCCAGAACCTTAATTTTAGAGAAACTGGTGAGACTCTCAACTGTTCTGTCAGTCGTTAATATATTCTTTACTAAATTTGCATCCAAAAGAGATTTTTTTCCCACCCAGAATCTATGAATATGAATCAAAAGGGGGATTCATATCAGTTGTAATCATTTCTGTGGCTCTAGTTCAGATAACGTCTCATCAGCATGAAAGCAATATACTCAAATATGCACACATCGACTGAGAGCTCACAGATAAGCATTTTATACGTAACCTGAGTTTTAGATGTTTGCTGACAGATAARCCCACAACAGAGTAGTGTTAGTTCAAAACTTTGGTGCAGCTGAAGTCTTGTTGTTTATGAAAACACAAAAATCAGACATTATAGCTCTGTCACACCAAGACACACATGTTTTGATGAGAACATGTCCAAAAAGATCAGAAATGATGCCCTGAGCAGAACCAAATGGTTCAGAAGAAAAAGGACAGAGACATGGAACCGGAAACGTTAACGAGACAGACAGGAGGCAGCGTTTTGTTTGCTTTGGCGAGGCGACCTGAGGAGGCAGTGAGCCTTTTCAGCTGCTGACTGTCCTGGTGCGAAGGTTTTCTCTAAAACCAAGTCCATGCTTTATAAGGTTACTTCAATCTAAATGTAGTTTCACTCAGAATAAAGATAACTACCAGTAGCAGTTATTTAGCTTCACTCAACAGTTCAGATCTTTTGAAGTGAGGTTTAGTGAAAGAAAGTTAACATTTAATATCTTACCTGCTGTTGTATATAGCTCTTTAAACCTCTACAATATGAATAAATCTGATCCGATTGATGAGTTAATCAGAGTGGGACTAAAACTTGAGTCTTAAAACTTAAAAGCTGTTTTTAAAAAAACATTTAGGCTGCTGTCAAATAGTATCTCAGTCAGAAATATTCAGTTACTCCCGCAGGAAATGTCTCAAGCTGCAGCAGAAGTGCTACAGCTAGCTGCTGGTGCCTCTTTTAGTGCTTGCAAATGAAAAAACTTAGCAGCGATATAAAGGCATTAATCCACTTGGAACTTGACCCCACTTGGAGTAGCCGTAAACTCATCAAATCTGTCAAATTTAAAAATTTTCCAAAACTGCAGGTTAATCAAAAAGCTATTTGCAACAGGTAAGATATTAACTGTTCAGACTCTTTTCATAAAGCTCCCCATTTAAAATATCCTAACTATCTCTTTAAATTGGCATTTGATGAGTGTGCCATCATACCAAACATTGTTAGTCAAAAAAAGGGAAACCACTAGTAAACTGCAGTCATCTACAGGCTAAAGGTAAGATTCCTGAAAGCACAGATGTGACCTATCCTGACAAAATGAGTCACAACGAGGAACTGTTAAATACTGAGCTATTATCATTTTAAAATTCTCCCTTTCAAAAGCTTCAAAACAATGTGTAATTTGCTGAAATTTGGCAAATCATTACCTGGCCTGGAAACAATCCAGTTTTGTTTACAAGAGTGCAAGTTTGAAAACTCAAATTTTATTGGTCTAGAATGATGTCATGAGGAATCTCAATTTAAAAAAAGAGACAGAAACGTTATACGAAGGGATTCCCCATCATTACAGAAGCTGACGAGCAAATTGTTCAAATTGCTTTTATGCAAATCTCAATCACAACAAACAACAAAAATGAGTAATTTTACGTTTTCTTGCAGTGCAACCTGGGCTCATTCTGAATCATTTTGTCAGCACGGGCCACATGTTGTGTTTGACTGATCACRTCAGAGTGCTCCGGAAACCTGAGAAGTTTTGTACAAGATGGACCGGAAACAGGGACGTTTTGTCACAAATAAATAATAATTCTAAAAATGTCGCAGACAAATTCAAGTCAACTGGTTTTTGGCCTGTTCAGAGTGGTGAAAAGTATTCATTTTCTACTTTATGACTGTAAACCTGTAAAGCAAATCATGACCCTTATAATTTAATCAACCAAAATGTTCTGAGCGTAACATGCAGGAAATGCAATCGCACGTTTTCATTCATCACAATGATTAAAGTGGAATTTTGGTTAAACGTTAACCTTTGAAAAACTAAACAATTCGTTGGCAGTGTATCCTTTCTCATCAGTAACCTTCAGCTCTGGTATACTGACACTAAATGCTGGAGTGTGACTGTTGTGGCTTCTGTAATCCAACCCTGCTGGTGTGTGATGGGTGGGCCGATGGTGGTCACTGATGGCTTTCTGTCTCTGAGGGCCGGTGGAGTTTGTGCTTTTAAAAGCATTAAATCCTAATTAAAACTCACTGATTGGTACACGAGGTGCACAGAGCGGTAAAAAGAGACCAGCTGAAATTATTAGATGGTTGAGTTTCACTACAATATGTAGCTCAGAACTGTAACAGCCTCTGTTTCTAAGCTGCGGTGAAACTAATCCTTTCGAGAGACGACAGCTATATGGTTGTTGTTTTTCCTTAGGGGTAACTATTAAACTCAACTGTTCTCTACAGTGTATGTAGAGAACATCTACAGAGTCGGAGAAAAAGAAAACAATGAAATGCTGACAGATTTAGTATCCAACTGTTCACACAAAATGGATTTTCAGTCTCTGCCCATAATCCTGTTACTCCACTGCTTACTGGACAAAAGAAGAGAAAAGGGCAAATCAATGAAGCTCATACGCCTCATACATTTTTCATGATATCCCAGCTGCATCACACTCGCGGTCACTGAAAACCATTGGGTAGCTCCTTGGTTTAACAGAAGAGCAGTACTTACTTTGACCTTGTGTGTTGTGTGGTTTCAAAATATCACATGCAGCTCAGTTATTGGTCAGGAGTTGCCGCTATGCTCAAAATGTCAATTTTAGATAAAGGTTCCATCCTTAAATAGAAATCAAATCTCCTAAAGTGAGGTTCTGTAGAAAAGTTATGATTAGCTAACATCTTACCTGTCGTACCTGTTTGTTTGAACTGATGAGCTAAAGGCTAGTTTGAGCAGGACCAATACCAAAATAGATTGCTGATCTTTGAAAACAACTCTATAATGACAAACTTCATTGCCTTTCATGCAAACGTTA